GCCGTCGTGCTTTTTTCATTGCTCGAGGGGGTCTGGGAACTTCGAAGACATCCAAGGCCCCCGTGAGTTGCTACCAATTGAGCAGGGACCGACCGTCCCGGCATTGCTGTAGTCCTACCACGGAATGTTTTTAGAACTCAAAAATGCTAGAACAACAAGAAAACTGTGCTTCGAACGTAAGCTCGATGCGATAAAACAAAGACAGGCTCCGCCAGAAACGTTCTAATGACATCTCGCGTAGACCACAAAAGGTTCTCGGAACATTGTTTGGTGGGCCCAGTCCCTGTTCTTGTCCAGTGACAGCTCACTTGCTCATTCTGGTTTTGCACGGTCTTTTCGTTCCACCCGAATGCCGTGCGTGTGTGGGGGTTTGGCGTCTGGGGGGGGCCCTAAGTCACGCCTGTCGGCTGGCCCGCCTCCGCCTGCCCTGGCCCTTTGGGGGCCGCTCCGTTTTTGTTGCATGGGAGGGCTCCTCCTTTGAGCCTTTCGGGCCCCGACTCTCACTTCCACTGTCCCTCTCCTTGCCTGGGGGGCCCACACAGGCGAGCCAGGACGCCTCGCCCCTGCCCGCACCAACCGCCGCCCAGAGCGCCCGGGGCGGCGCGGCCTGGGCCACCGCGCCTCGGGCTCGGCGGCGCGCGCCGCGCGGGCGGCGGAGGCCCCGGCGGGGGGCGGCGGCTCGGCGAGCGGCGGCTCGGCGGGCGGCGTGAGGGCCGCGTCCGCCGCGCACTCGCCGCAGCCCGCGGGCGCCGGCCAGAGCAGAGGCCTCGGCTCAGCAGTCAAAAGCCCTAATGAGGACGCGCGGCAAGGACGCAAGACCCTTGGAAGCCGAAATTGGGATTTTTGGGTCGGCGGGCGACGAAAACCCCAAGGACGCAAGAGCAAGGAAGAGCAATGACGCAAGGGTACCTTATTAGGATTTTGACTGTACCATTAGGTAGGGTATGTCCCCCTACAGACGGATTGTAGACGGAAGATCGAAAATGTCCAAACTATGCACAAACATGTTCAACGAATGCCAGGAAAATCGTCCCCATTGCATTTGTCGACTGTGTTTGGATATTCCTCCTGTAGAGGTCGTGCCCAGCGTAAGCTTAGCAAGAGGAGATGGCACGGAAGTCGCAGGCGAGAGCATGATCCCTAAGGAAAAAGTGTATGAGAACGTCCCGAGCCAGAGCGCGATGCCAGAGCGCCAAGAGAGAACGATTCGCCAGAAGGTTGTGAGGACGCCTCAGGCGAGAGTGCGAATCCTGGATCGACTGCAAGAAAGCCTCGCGCGGGAGCGCGGCTCTTCCGTAATTGGGAAGTATCAGGCGGGAGCCGCTGTTGTAGCAAGCCGCGGCAAGGTCAAAGGCGTTTGTTTTTACTCGGCTCTGGCAGGTTTGCGTTCGCGGAGAGGGGGGGATATCCTGAGGTGCCCCAGAGCTTCTGTGGGTCGCTGGGGCGATCGGGGGATCAGCGATTCCCCTGGGGCGCCTGCTGCCAGGTAAACGTCTTCTTCGACAAGCCTAGTGTGTCAGGGACGCAAGCCTGTCCCGGGGAAAGAGGTCCAGAGATCTATTTTTTCAATCGGAAATTCTTCACGAGCCTCCAGCGGGGGGAGGGGGGGCGTGGTGAGGTGCGAAACGAAAGCTGGACTCCGCGCAAGTCGGGACTCACCTGCACGCCTTTTCGGCCCAGCGCTGCTTGCAAAGGCAGCGGAGGAGGGGGAAGGGGGATGTCATGCACACAGACTTGCCTGAATAGTTAAAGCCCGTGGGAAGTGTTCGTAAAACGATGGAGCCCAAGGGGCCAGCAAATCATACTCGGCCGGATGAACCTGGGGACTGAGCAACGTTGGGCGGGACTGAACCGAAGTAAACGGGATTACGCCTGAGTGAACGGGATGCCGCTGGAGCTGCCACATTTTCGACCACGGATGTAGGTACCAGCGCCGGTTCTGAGTTTAGATTCCCTGAGGAATTGCATCACAACCTTCTCTCTTCTCTGGTATCCTCTCGTTATGGGCATACTCGCGGCGCGAGGCTTTTGTTAACTTCCGGCCTCTGGGGCCCTCGCAGGGCCTCGGTGGCATCATGAGGTGGCTCGGGATGAAGAAGACGGCCCGTGGGAGCGTGCCGCCACTGCCGGGGGAACGGGAGAACGACGTCGGCAACTTCAGTGCGATGGTCTAGTTGGCGGCCTCTCAAAGTAGACGCGCACCCTCGCACGCGTGGGCTTTCTGAGTGGGCTTTCTGAAGCAGCGCTCGGGGACGCGAAACCAGGAGGGAGCCGCAAACCTTTCCGCCACCCTGGGAGCACGGAAGAGGCACCTGCTGTTTCGCCTTTGGGGCCGACCGTGCCCTCGGCCCGCCCCTCCCCGCTTCTCCGGCCCCGTCCTTCCCTCCCCTCCCCTCCCCCATGGTGCTGAGCTCGGTGGCGATGACACCAGGGACCTCGAGGTGCCCCCATCGGGGCTCGGCGTGCTCCAAAGCTTTCCTGCGCAAAGTCGGAGCCAAGGCACTGTCATTGTATGTGCTCTTGTCTCGGATCCTGCCTCTGCGTTGCCACTCGTCTCGCATCAAGAGCCTTTCTGTCTAGGGACCCTTCGGGGGGGCACCAGGGACCGAGCGTCCCCTCCTCAAAGTCCGCCCGCCAATCGAATGCACGATTCTGCAATGAGCGTCCAGGCCGTGTTGTCTCCACGCAGAGGTGCAGCAATCGCACTGCTCTGCATCTGTACGTCTCTGTGTTTGCATCCATGTTGCCCCTGCTCCTCCACCTTCACTTCCCTCTGCACGAGAGCGGTCCGTAATCGTGATGGCTTACCCTTGGGCTCACGCGAGTTGTTCAGGACCCGCATTCGCAATCACAAACTTTAGGCCGGTGCTCAAGCCGGGATGAGCTACAGGCAAGAAGATACATCGGACACAGACCAGTGCACAACGTTGGGGGTGCGTGATTGCAAGGGCGACGGCATAGGAACAACAGAAAGAACACCATCATATCTAGTAACGTCTACATCACTTTTGCGACGTAGTGCGAACCTGCTTCTCATCGCGGGGAGGGGCCCGATGATGAGAATGAGGCGGATGCCTCGAGGGGATGGAGAGAACAGGGAAGAGCGGGGAGGGAGGACAGAGACGGCGACGCAGCGGAGGAGTAGGAGGAGGGCGGCGACGACGAGGCCGAAGACGGCGGCGGCGACGACGACGGTGGGTCGTTGGGGCCGAGGACAGCGATGGTCAGCCCGCCGAGGATGCGGCCGAGCCCCGGCAGACCCCGCGCTCGCGCTGGCCACCGCACGCTCCTCCCACAGCGAGGGCGGTGGGTGTCTTCGGCGGCGTCGTTGCCGCGGATCGTCGCGGTCGGCGGCGGCGCCGTCTCCGAGTTCGTCAGCGTCATCGTCGCTGGCTGGGATCGTCGCGTCTGGCTGTTGTCGTCCTCCTCCCCCCCGCCCTCCTCCCTCTCCTCCTCCTTGTCCGTCCTCGCCGTCGTCCCATCCTCCACCCATGCACTCCACCTCCCTTCACCCTCCTCCATCCTCCTCCACCCCGCATCCTCCAAGTCCCTCCTCCTCGTCGCCCCCTCCGGATCCCCCCCCTCGGATCCACAAGAACCTCCGAAAACCTTATGCCTGTAGATTTATCCTGAGCATTCTTTGTTGGCAGGTCCCTGGGCCCAAGAACGGGCCCCGAGTGCCCGAAAATGCAGCGAACAAGCCTCGGGGCCCGATATGCCCTCTGGACCCGTTCGTTTCACGGCGAAGCTCCCTGCTCCCAGACATCCGACGTCCTGATGTTGTTCACGACGTGGCTCCCCAGAGTTCTTGACCCCTTCCTCTTGACAGGATCTCCTCCAATCATGCTCAGGTAACCCTGATTGTATGCCACCGTGTCCTCAGGCACGAATTGGAATGCCCTCGGGTTCCTTGGAGTCCTCCGTCCTCAGTCCCAGACGAATGGAAATTTAAAATCCCGGACCCGACATGACCAGTTTCTCATGGACGCGAACGTGCCGCCATAGGCTTAGCGCATGTTCTCTCGTGACTTGTGTGGAACCAAACAGGCCCCGAGACGGGTCAGCGCCCCGAGTCACCCTTGCTGCCCGAAGGCCGCTCTGAGACGCCCTAGCTGGGCCCCCACACGGCCCAAGAGGGCCCCAGGATGCTCCGAAAGGGCTCCAAGAGCCCTCCCTCGGAAGTCCCCGAGAGGCCCAAATCATGCATTTCAGTGAGCTTTTCAGCGAGTTTAGTGTTCTTGCCTTTTCGGTCCTTCGACGCTTCAAGACGGCCCACATTCTCCAAAGATCGCCCAAGACGTCCCAAGAGGCCCCCCCCCCCCACGACGGCCCAAGAGGCCCCCAAGACGGCCCCAAGAGGGGCCCAAGGAAGTCCCCAGAGGGGAAACACGAACCGAGATTTCGAGCTCTCCGCCAAGAAGCCTCCCAGAGGCTCCAAGAAGCCTGCAAGAGGCTCGAACCAGGCCCTCAGATACTCCCAAGAAGCCCCAAAGCCTCTCAAAAACCGCCTCCAAGAGGCTTCATCCGAGAGGCCTCCCAGGATATCTCCACAAGCCTCCAGAAGTTGCCTCCGACCAACAACCAAGGCGCCAATGGCGGAACATTAGATAATCGAGCCCCGGATGCCGAAATCTGACAGAAACCCGCCGGCGTGTCCTATCAGGGCGGGGGGATGTCAGAGTCTCGATCTCTTTCTCTCTCCCTTGGTTTTCGGGTCAAATCTCGGCTCCCTGGCGGACCACTTCTGAGCTAGGCTAGGCCAGATATGACCCACCTTCATTTCCACTTTTAACACTTGTATCCCCTGAGCAGCCGCAGCTGTGATCTCAGTGGTATCTTCCGGGATCTCCGACGATGCTGCAAGGGACTCTGGGTTGGCGTGCGGCGCCGCCGGCTCTGGTCTACCACGCTTCGGCGCGACACGCCATCCACGTCCCAGCCCCCTAGCGCAAACGTCCCAAGCCTTTCCGAGCCTCCCGCCCCGCGGAACGGATCGACACGGTGGCGGCTTGCAAGGGACAGCGTGTCGAAGGGGCGGCCGCCGCGACACGCTAAGCAACAGTTCCCTGCCGAGTTCATGTTGTCAGTCGAGGCGTTCGGCCTCGATTTCAGCCCCGTGGGCCCGCCGCCGCCAGGCGGAGGAGGAGGGGCAGCGTCAGCTGTTGGACATTTTCGGGCAGTCCCCGTGAGTTTTTTTTTGACTCCCCAGGGGTGCCAAAATCGTCCCGAATTCAGGGTGATGAGAAAACTCCGCTAAGTGGGCTACGCCCACCAAGACCAGGTCTGCACCCCCCAAACAACTTAGGGCACCCGTGCCCCACTCGCAAGCTGGGTCGGGCCAGATGATGGTATGCCCCACCTAGCATCCACTTCTAAACCCCATAGCCTCTAGGCAACACAAGCCATCATCTCAGTGGGCCCGAGAAAGTCGGTCAGGGGGGGTGCGATGAAGGCAAATCCTGTCAAAATCGGTCCCCAACCCTCCCGGGGTGCAGCTGGAGTAGCTGTTCAACCGTAGGTCCGTTCTTGACGCCCCGGGGGCTCGAAACCAGCCCCATGAGGCCGCAAAAGGCAGAACACATTCGCGAACCTCGAACCTCGCGAACATCTGAGCAGGGCTCGTGTTTTGTTCGGGAGGAAGGGGATATGAGGGGCGCGCGACCACCAAACCTCACCACGGCGTGCCTAGCGCAGGAGCATGGAGCAGAAGATTGCCGGGCCAACACAAAACGCCGCACGGACCGACCTGCCACAGGCAAGCTGTGCGATGAACTACGGCCTGGGGGCAGGAGAGCCAAGAATCGAATCGATGAATGGATTGGCAGTCGAAGCGGATCGGATCGGCAGAAATCGGCAGCCGAGTCGGGAGAAGTCGAATCGAAATCGACGGAAATCGGCAAGCAATAGTAGGCCTCCATTCCGAAGCAGGACTCCGCATCGGGATCCTGAGCCGAATCGACTCGGCGCCGGCATCGATCGAAGTCGAACCGAAGCCGAATCGAATCGACATCGCGTCGAATCGAAGTGAGGCCCTGTGAAGGGAGAGGCCGTCCAATCGAAATCGGGTCGTATCGAACCGGAATCGGAACCCAATCGAAGTGCGGCCCGAGGCGGCGGCGAGCCGCCCAACGGCGCGCGGGGCGCGCCTCCTCCGCGGCGGCGGGCGGCCTCCCCCAGGCGGCCTCTGGCGCACCGACGCCCGCGGGCGGGCCCGGGCCGCCTGGCGTAACGGGCGAGAAACCAAAAAGTGCAGCAGGGGCTCGACCACAGGGGGAACCTTCCGGGAGAAACCCAACCCGGACCCCCCAGGGCGTCCATTGGTTTTTGGTGTGGGGGCGTCGCGCCCTCCATCGTAGAATCATCGAAACCCAAGGAACCCAGGGCACCCTGGGGGACAAGCAGGGTGTTTCTTGGCATGGGTTTCCACTGCACCCCAGCCCTTTGGGAGGGGACCGAAGTTGGGAGCGCCACGAGCATCAGGGGGCAGGGGATCTTCTTCTGCAGCTGCACCAGGCCGAGCCGCCCAGACTTCTGATGTCCCTGATGCGGAGACGGGAACCTCAGTGAGGCCGCGTCTTCTTCGTGTCGTTAGGGTCAGGTCGGGCATGTCCCTATATAGGCGGATTTTGCACGATAAATAAAACATACCCCAAACATGCTCAAAACCAGATTATTGCTTGACTATGTTTGAATAGTCCTCCTGTGGAGGGGCACGCCAGACTTCACGTTAGGGTTAGGGATTTCCTTCGTTCTCGACGATCGGCGGAGCGGTTTGACCCGCGCCGGCAGCGGCGCTGCGCAGGCCCGACGCTCGGTGGCCCGCCGCCGCGCCCCAGAGACCCCCCTCCCCGGAGACCCTGGCGGCCTGCTTCTTTGCTCGGGCCGGGCGGCTTCGCTCCATCCTTCGGGCCCCGGGGCCCTCACAGATCGATCGGCGCTGGACCTGAGCGGTGTTTTCCGCTTTCGTTTTGTTTTCGTTTTCCCTCGTTCTGTCTTCGATCCTCACGCAAACCGACGTCGAAACGAAAACGGCCCACGAACTCGCAAACACACCGTTTAGGTCCAGCCCTGATATCGATGCGGATCGAAGAAGGGCGCAGGAAGGTGGGGCAGGAGGGCCCAGAATGGAATCGATAGGTCGCATCGGCGATCGAAAGGAATCGGGCAAGTCGGCAAGCCGAGCCGGGAAAAGTCGAATCGACAGGAATCGGCAGGCTAGTATACCTCCAATACGAAATCGGAAACCAAATCGGAATCCCAAGTCGGATCGAATCGGAGTCGGAAGCCATCGAAGTCGGATCGACTCGGAGTCGGAGGAATCGAAACGAGCCCAAGGTCGGGGGGTCCGGTGGTGACCTTCCGCGATGGTGCCATTGTTTCTTGCAGCGTCGGCCCTCAGGTGGGGCCCGTGAGCAAAGCACAACGGGGAGGCTCAGCTGCCCCCGAGACGCAGCACGCAGCACGCAGCGTCGTGTGGATAGGGAGCTCGACGCGCAGACTGACAGCGCAGGTGTGACGCGACACGTTCGCCGGAGCGTGGGCCAACACGTCGGGCCAACGCGCAACGTATCGACACGGACGCTTTGAGCATAGCACGCGTTGCTTATCCAAACGGGCGTTGTTGGCTCTCTGGGGGCCCTCACCAAGCCTCGAGGCCGCCAGAAAACGACTCGGGATGAAGAACCGGTCCAGCGGGATGAGTCGAGACCTCTGGGGGTCGACGTCGTGAAGAAATTCCTGGCGTCGGGGGTCTGGGGTCGGTAACCCGCAGCCGAAGCGCTGCTGCTTCGTTTCGGCGGCGAGCCCATTGGGGAGTGTGAGAGGGGGCGGGCATTCGCAGAGAGCTCGGAAGACCTCGAGGCTTCTGAGAAGTTTTCTGAGAATTTCCCGGAGACGTTGAGAACTGCTCAGAAGGCGCGAAGGCTTCCGAAAAGCCCCGCCGCCTTCGGAGAAGGCCTCTCCACCATCCCTTCACCCCTGGGGCTCACCGCCGACCGCTGGCACACCACAGACGAGAGCCCAACGTGTGGCGTTACGGCAAAATCGACACTCGAGTCCGCACGTGCAGCGCCACACCATCCGCAGCACTTTGGCGGCTCGCTCACACCCGAGCAGCGTGTGCGGGGGGTTCGTCGACCTGCAGCGGTCGGCGGAGCCCGCCACAAGACACATTTCGCTTCGATCCCCTCCTGCGCCATTCTTCGCGGGCGACAGTCGACGCCTATACCCAGATCTCCGACGGTGCGATTTTGTTCGGGCGCTGCCCCCTCGTTTCGGCATCGATCCCTGAATTCGGCTACACGTAAGAGTGACCCTGGGTAAGAGTGACCTTTGGTGCGCGGCTTTGTGAGGGCCGCGGGGAGACCAAACCTGGTCGCGCAAGCCGCTGCTACCGCGCCGTTTTCAGCCATCCAGGGGCCCATCTGCGCCCGCACCAAAGGTCACTCCGGCGAGAGGTCCCTCCGGCGAAAGGTCACTCGTACGTCTGGTCGGCCCCCTCGCTTCGGCATCGATCCTGGACTCCCCTCGCGTCGTGGAACCAAAACACCGACGGACGGTGCTCGGGCTCACTTCAGCCTCCGTCGGCCCTCACAGGGCTCATGGGACCGTCCAACCACACGCCCTGGGAGGAGAGAGCCCGTCCCCGGGGCAGGGGCCGAGGCTCCCGCCGGGCCACGTGGGGCAACGCCTCCCGACGTCGGGGGCCCGGGCCCGCGGCCTCGCCGGCTGGGCCCCTGGGCCGCGACCCCCCGTCGAGCGGGGCGCGCTTCCCAGACGCGACCCCCCGTCGAGCGGGGCGCGCTTCCCAGACCCCCGACGTCATGATTTTTTCATTTCGTCGACCCCCATAGAGGTCTGGACCCATTCCCCAGGGCCGGCTCTTCATCCTGAGTCGTTTCTTGACGGTCCCGAGGCCCGGTAGGGGACCCCAGATGCCAAAGATCGCGAAAAACCTCCCATCGTGGTTGTTTTACGTCACTCGAGGGGGTCTGGGTTTGTCGCCGGTGCCCCGCGAGCGGGGCGTCTGCGCGGAGGCCGCGTGCCCACGCGAGGCCGCGCCCCGTGGCCGACAGCGGCCGCGAGGGCGTGGACGTGCGTACGCAGCCGCTCCCCCCGTGGTCGACATGTCGGCCCCGCGCGGGGAAAGCGGGCCGTCGCCCGCGACCGTCGACGGCGACCGACCCTCCTCCTCCTCCTCCTCCTCCTCCTCCTACTCCTCCTCCTCCCCCTCCTCCTCCTCCTCCTCCTCCGCCTCCTCCTCCTCCTCCTCCTCCTCCTCCTCCTCCTCCCTCCTCCTCCTCCTCCTCCTCCTCCTCCTCCTCCTTCCTCCTCCTACTCCTCCTCCTCCTCCTCCTCCTCCTCCTCCTCTTCCTCCTCCTCCTCCTCCTACCTTTTCTCCTCCTCCTCCTCCTCCTCCTCCTCCTCCTCCTCCTCCTCTCCGACGGTGTTCGAGAGGGGAGTCAACTCGGGCTCGGACTCGGGCTCGGGCTCGGACTCAGACCTGCGAGCGTGCGCCGACGGAGGCGCTGCGGGCGGGCGCCGTGGCGCCATCGTGTGACGCCAGCGCGGGCAGTCGAGGCCTCGTACCAGCGGGGCGAGGCTTTGGAACGGGGTCGTGTTCACCGTCGCAGGCGCGTGAGCTGCCCGCTCAAGGTCGCGCGCAAGCGCCCTTGCTTCCCGCGAGGCGTGCCGCGGCGGCAGCCCGCGTGAGCCGCCGCGCAAGGTCGGTACAGTCAGCCCGCAGAGTAAGGATGGGCAACCTTCCCAAGGGTGCCCTTGCATCCTTGCCCCTTCGGCCCATCCTTAGCGACTTTCGCTGGCCAACCTCGCTCGAAAAACATTAGCATGGCCCTCGAAAGCTCTTGGCCCACCCTTCTGATGCGGGCCTACTGTATGCCATCTCGCGTCAGACCCGTTGTCGGTCGTCGCTCATCTGGTGGCGGGCCCACGGGGACCCACAAGAGGGGCGACCCCCGGCGGGAAGCCGATGCGGAAGACGGAGCGGTTCGCGCGGCTGCAGGGCCCAGAGCCGGCGCCGTCGCGGCAGGAATTTGCTAGGGCCCCGGAGGCCAGGACCACGCAAAGCAAGATGCTGCCACATCCAGCGGGGGGGAAGGAGTGTAAGACAGGCAGGATGCCTTCTCACCCACGGCTGCAGCATTCTCGTGGGCACCAGTGTTCTGGTTCAACAGAATTCCTGCTCACAGGGCACCGGGCCCGACGACGCCCGCGTGCTTGCCTCGTTGGTCCATCACTGTCCAGGCGTCTTGCGGAGAGGGGCGTCCAAGGACTGCGCAGCCTTGTGCATCTGTGCTAAAACGACAGGTGCACAACAAAGTCATCACCGCAACATGAAAAAGTGCACCGTGCAACAAGCGCACCATTCAACACTGCCGAAGCACAACTGCATAACACTTAAACACATGTGCACTGCAAAACGAAAAAAAAACTAAGCATCGAATGCAAAGCTTATTGTGAACCCACAAAACTATGCAGCTGCCCTCTTGAGTTTTGCTTTCTGTCCCACAAGGTGCCTAGGCCCTAGGCTGAAACATAGGTTAGGCTGAACATCTGAATATAAATTGACAAGGGAGTTAGAGCTTGCGCCCCCGATCCATTTCTGAAGGTCCCAGGGCTCAGAAATGGCCCCTGGATGCCGAAGCGAAGGGAACAATTCTGAGATCCGACGTCACAAACATGTTGCAAATTGTGAAGCAACTCAGTCGGAACCCCGGAGCCCCGCTGTCTGGCCGGATCGAGCCGAGACCGCCGAACACGGGAGACTGATCTCTTTCATAGTGCCGCCCTTGCCTCGCCCCAGCGTCGACGCGGTGCGGCACCTGCCGCTCCAGTTGTGGATGCCATGATAATGGACACCCTACCAATCCTGTCGCTGAATTAACCATGTGCTTAAAGTGTTTGAAAACACCGTCTGGACATGTTGAGAACGCGTTTTTACATGTTCAGGACATGCTCAAAACATGTGCCAAACATCTGGAAATTGCTTGGCAGCACGCTTCCTCTCCTGGGGAGACAAAAAGGTACCGATACCGCTACTCCCCAGACCTCTGCCGGGGTCCGTTCTGACGAGGGTTTCGACGCGGATCCAGCGGTGGCGACGAGGGCCTCCGAGGAGGCCCAAGAAGGAGAAAACGAGGAGAGGGTAGAGGTATGGGTACCTTTCCCCCCTCTGACGATCGTCTCCCGCAGCGCTCCGGTCGCCCCACGAGGTGCCCTCCTCCAGCGCGCGGCCCCGTGGAGGGCCCGCCCGCCGCCCTAGGGAGGCCCCCCGTACCCCGACGTGCCCTCCTGGTGCGAGCGCAGAAATCCTCGCCACTCGAGGCCCCAAAAGAGGCCTCCATCGGGCCGGGCGGAAGGGGGGGATGGAGAATCGGCTCACGATCTGGGAGGTTCCGTCCTGGCCCGCCCAGCGCGGAGCTGGGCGACGCCACAAAAACGCGACGGCTGGATCTTTCGGGCCGGGCGAAAGGGAGGGACAGCAAAGGGGGGGTTTGAGAATCAGCTCACGGAGCTGATCTTCCTGGCGCCTCCCGGCGCCGGGAGGCGCCCATGTATCGAGGAACGGGCCCGCCGGCGGGGCCGAAACCAGCGGCGTGCAGCAGATTTCGTAGCCCCCCCTTTCCCTATGCCCCCCTTTCGTTCGGCCCGACGCAACACGGCGCCCAAGGGGCCTCACAAGTGCTGCCAGGAGAGCCCAGGGAAGCCCAGGAGCAGAGAGCCGCGATCCGCCAGACGCCCCGGATGAATTCTCAAGAGGCTGAAACCCCAGGATTACCCAGAAATCGCGCGCGTTCCGCAAAGTCCGTTTTTCACTCTTACTGCCGCCCCACGGGGTCGGCGGTGCGGCGTCAGCCAATGAATTCTCGACGGTACACTTCTGCTCGTGCTCAGCCTCTTGGGGCCCTCGCTGGGCCCTGGGAAGTCAGAGCCGACTCGAGATTAGAAGAGACGGTGGTCCTGGGAAAGGGTCGGCGACTCCGAAACGTGTGGCCTGCAAGGGGTGTGTTCTGCAACCGGCGCCCTGGGAGGGGGCACCCTGGGTGGCGAGCGAGGACCTCGGCAGAGCTCTCCGCCGCGCCCCGAGGAGGCCCGACGATACCAGCGTCGCGCTCCCCAAGCCCCAACGGTGCCGATCGCAAACCACACTCCAGCGGAACCAAACATACCCTCTGTAGTCGCCGAAAGCGGTTAAGACCTCTGGGGAACCACGTTATGAACAAAAACGCTTCCGTCCCAGACCAACTCTTGCTGGCCCCTGGGGCACGACCCCAGCAGGGAACGAGATCGAAGTATAGCGCTGGAACTGAAACAACCACACCCTGACGCAACTTCCCAATGAGACCCGACGTCTCGATTGCAACATCGTCAAAAGAACCAGGCCGGAGCCCTGAAACCCACGTTCCTGCCACACCTGTCAAGCCAGATCGATCCGTGAGGGTCCAAGGACTCGAGACCAAGGCAGCATCGCCCGCTGTCACGTCGTCGGCGGCCTGGGGCACTGCATCCCCCACTTGCCTCGGGCGTTTCGGCCCGGCAACGCGCACCGCCCTCCTGCAGGCGGGCTCTGGAAGACAAATGCAACATACGCTTAAAATTATCAAAACGAGTCGACAGAGCACGAAACATCATCACCAACATGCGTTTCCCTCTTCTTGAATATATGCCTCCTGTAGAGAGGGGCGTGACCGACGTAACATTAGAGGAACAAGACAACGGAAGGAACAAGATTTCGCTGAGGGCCGGGCGGATCTCTTGGATCGGCGCCGGGGCTCCCCTCCCTGGCGCGCGCAGCGCCTGCAAACGGGCGGCGCCAGAGGTGCTGCCTGCCAGGGGGGCTCCGCGCCGATCCAAGAGGTCCGCGCGGGGCTTCGAGGAGTGATGCTCCTGCAGCTGGTTCTTCCTCCAGGCACCTCGGAGTCACACGGTGTCCGGGGGCGTCTCTCATTCTTGCATGGTTCCCTGCGTGGGCGTCTCTCTGGCAGGTGGGCGTGGGAGGCGGTCCCAGTCAGCCTAGAGCGATGTTGCTAGAGGCCGAACAAACATAACACAAACAGAAACGTTTGGAGCTCCGCGCGGAAATCTTGGATCTGCGCTGGCCCCCGCCCCCCCCGGGCGGCGCCTCCAGCGCCGCCCCTGGCGCGCTCCGCGCGCCAGGGAGGGGGGCACAGCGCCGATCCAAGACATCCGCGCGGAGTTGCAACAAGTTTATGCTCGCGTCGTTGTTTTGTGCTTCGAGTCTATGTACACGTCGTTCATGTCTAATCGTGCTCATTTCTAAGTGTGCTCGTTTCTACTTTGTTCCGGGCCCCCCAGAGGCCAGGGGAGGCCACAGGCCAGGGAGAGTGCCCCCCCAAAAAATCAGAGAACTCTTGAAGAATTAGAAATGAACACTGTGTATGTTCGCGTCGTTGCAGTGTGTAGTTGCCCTGCCCCTCGCCCTCTGCCGCCCCGCCCTTCCCCGCCGCCCCGGGGCGCCTCTGCGGCGGTCGGCGCGCGCCTGGGCGGGGCGGGGGATCCGCGGCGGCGGCAGCGGCGCACTCGCGCGGGAAGGAGCCTCGCCCACAGGAGGAGCTCGACCACCAGAAACCTGCCACAAGAGACCCAAGATCCCAAGATCCCCTTATGTTCACGTACTTTCTGGGTGTTCGTCTTCCCCCCCAACACTTCCCCGTATTCCACAATATTTTTTCACGGGGATTGACGGTGCACTGTGTCGGTGTGCTATGCTTTCCTCCTGATGCAGTGGAGGCCAGTCCACAAGAAACCTTCCACAAGAGACCCCAACCCTGAGACCCCAGGACGTACATTCATTCATGTTTGGTGTAGGAGCGTCACGCTCTCCACGGCAAAACCATCGAAACCCAAGAAACCCAGGGCACTCCGGGGGCAAGCAGGGTGCTCCTTGGCATGGGCTTCCACTATAATCGATGCCTGGCCCCGACGGCGTCGCGATCTGTTCGAAACGGGCGAGTTTGCCCTGCTTCTGGCCCTGGGACCGCCACAGATCGAGCCGACTCGGAAAATGCGGCAGCTCAAGTGGGGCCCAGGGCTGTGGGCTTCTTGACGATTGTCTCTCAACGCTGGATCTCAGGGTGGCCTCGGACCCACCGGCGGACTTCCCCGCACAGACGGGGTCACGTGCCTGTCCCGTCGCCTCTCGCGGGGCCTGCCCCCCCTCGGAAATGGTGGGCTCTTTGGGCTGAGATGCCATGGCCCAGTGGGGGTGGGGATGGACATGTTGGCACGGCGTGCCGCCGCGGCTTGCCCAACGACGCGCTACATATGCGATGCGAGCGGATCGCGTGACGCTCTGCGCCGGGGGGCGGGAGGCTCGACGAGGCTCGTAAAGGCTCGGGACGTAGACGTCTGGGGACCGGGAAGTGGATGGCGTGTCGCGCCGAAGCATGGTGGGCCAGCACGGGCGGAGCGACACGCTGCCCCAAAAGTTCTCGACCGAAGACGATGCCGATTAAGCGCGGACGGAAACGAGGCGCTCCCCGCTCCTGCCCTCAGATCTGGGCGTCGCAGAGGTCAGATCGTGGCGGCCCGTTTTCCGTCGTCGTCGGCCCTCAAGGGGACGGCTCGAAATGACAAGCCGCCGGCGCACCCAAGCACCCAACGTCTTGAACAGCTCGAGTCAGAAGTTTGTCGCCACTGCGTCGGATCTCTGGACGCTCACACTCACTCGCGTCCGAAGACTGGCATGAAGGAAACGGGTCCAGAGGAACACAGGTCCTAGACTATATGGCCCTTTTCCCAGAACCAGCCATGAAGCCCCAGTTTGCAAGACCGCATGCCGCCGCCCCACCGATTGAGGCGCACTCATGACTCGTGCCGCACAGGGAGCTCCACTAGACAAGTTCGTATGTCGCCCCGCTCCCATTTCGGCACACCCCTCACAAGCTTCGTGCCCCACAGGGAGCTCCGCCTACAGCCCCTGCGGACAAGTTCGCAGGCCGCCACCCCGCCCAGTTCAGCCGACCTCTCGAACGTTTCGTGTCGCACAGGGAGCTCCACCGTGGGAAGGTTCGCATGCCAACCCCCCAGCCACCTTCGACACAACCCTCACAGGGTCCATGCCCCACATGGACTTCCACCCACGTCCCCAATTCCCAAGGCCTCACGCACACCCCTTCGCCCATGCAGGCGCACCTCTCACAAGTGTCGTGCCCAAAACGGCAGGGAGCTCCACCCAGACGACCAGTGGCAGAGCTCGCATGTTGTTCCGCCGCTCATCGTGGCGAAACCCACACGCGGATCGTGCTCTACTGGGAGCTTCGCATACGGCCTCAGCATGCGCGCTCGCGTTGGGGTGCCCATCAAATTTGCCCCCCCCACCCCCAACCACACACACACACACCCGCACACACACACACACACACACACACACACACACACACACACACACACACACACACACACACACACACACACACACACACACACACACACACACACACACACACACACACACACACACACACACACACACACACACACACACACACACACACACACACACACACACACACACACACACACACACACACACACACACACACACACACACACACACACACACACACACACACACACACACACACACACACACACACACACACACACACACACACACACACACACACACACACACACACCACCCACCCCCCCACACCCCCTGACGCGGATCGTGTTCCACAGGATTCAGCGCGCCCCTGAGCGTTCAACCCGCAGGATGTTATTCACCCTGCCTCGCGGCGCGCAGTATACGTAGCACCCCGCAGATGCGGATAAGAGTGAGGGGGCGGTGGGAGGTCGCGGGTGGGTCGCGGGTGGGTCGCACATGGGTCGCGGGTGAGTCGCGGGTGGGTCGCTGTTGGGTCGCGGGAGGGTCGCGGGAGGGTCGCGGGTGGGTCGCGAGGTGGGTCGCGGGAGGGTCGCAAGTGGGTCGCGGGTGGGTCGCACATGGGTCGCGAGGTGGGTCGCGGGTGGGTCGCGGGTGGGTAGCGGGTGGGTGTCGCGGGTGGGTCGCGGGTGGGTCGCGGGTGGGTCGCGTGTGGGTCGCGGGTCGGTCGCACGCACATGGGTCGCGTGTGGGTCGCGGGTGGGTCCGGGTGGGTCGCTGTTGGTCGCGGGTGGGTCGCGGTCGCGGGTGGGCCGCGGGGTGGGTCGCGGGTGGGTCGCAAGTGGGTCGCGTGTGGGTCGCGGGTGGGTCGCGAGGTGGGTCGCGGGTGGGTCGCGGTTTGGGTCGCGGGTGGGTCGCGGGTGGGTCGCGGGTGGGTCGTGGGGTGGGTCGCGGGTGGGTCGCGGGGGGGTCGCACATGGGTCGCGAGGTGGGTCGCGGGTTGGGTCGCGGGTGGGTTGCGGGGTGGGTTGCGGGGTGGGTTGCGGGGTGGGTCGCGGGTGGGACGACGACAACAAACAAACAAACAAACAAACAAACAAACAAACAAACAAACAAACAAACAAACAAACAAACAAACAAACAAACAAACAACAACAACAACAACAACAACAACACCAACAACAACAACAACAGCAGCAGCAACAACAACAACAACACCAACAACAACAACAACAACGAACAACGAACAACGAACAACGCAGCAAGCAGAATCCTCACCACGGATCCCCACTTCAGCCACGCACCCAGGGACAATGAATGATCGTTCGGCCCCTTCACTCTGGCTCAGCGAGGAGGGGGGGGGGAACACCAACCTGGAATCGGCGATACATCGCCAGTAAACCGGCGACTGGCCCATTATGGTGAATCCGCAGGCTCCTCGACGGGGTGGGGCTACGGCCGGGAGCTTCTGCAAAGCGCGTCGCCGCGGCCCAGCGACGCGCTAGTCGCTCCGCTCCGCGGGGCGGGAGACTCGAGAAAGCTCGGGACCTTGACGCGTGGGGGCAGCGCCGACATGCGCTGGGCCAGAACCGGCGGAACGACACGCTATCCCCGAGCTCCCGACCGCATCCGGGTCGAAAGCTCCAAGCCTGCGGGCTGGCCCTCGTGGCCCCTGGGCGGCCCCCTGGATGCCCACCCTGTCCCCCTCGCGGCCCCCCGAAGCCTGTGGCCCCCCGGCGCTGGCCCCCCCCCCGCCGGCGTGGCACGACTGGCGGGCGCGGCGCCGAGGGCGAGGTCGAGGGCCGCCCTCCAGGCCACCGCCCCGCCCCCGCCGCGCGCCCGCGGCGGCGAGGCCCGAGGCCCTGCACGAAGGGCGCGGCGGGGACGGGAGGGGAGGGGAGGGACCCAAACGTGCCCGCGCGGGGGAACAGATCGAATGCCACGGCGGGAGGCCGTAGCCGTCCGAAACGAAACTCTGGACGAGAAGGTGGCCCTGGGGATTCCCACTCGGGGCCTTCACCTCCGCCACCGTGGCCTCCAGCAGCCCGAGGTCGGCCGACAGCCGCTGCAACTCGCGTTGCCTCTCGGCGTCGCCCGTGGGGCCCCCTGGCGTGCAGGCGCCGCCGTCGGCCGCCACATTTTCGCGGTGGCACCGTCGTCGTCGTCGTCGTCGCCCTCCTCCTCCTTCTCCTCCTCCTCCTCCTCGAGCTCCTCCTCTTCCTCCTCCTCCTCCTCCTCCTCCTCCTCCTTCTCCTCCTCCTCCTCCTCCTCCTCCTCCTCCTCCTCCTCCTCCTCCTCCGACTCTTCCTACTCCTACGAGCTCCTCTTCCTCTTCGTCCTCGTCCTGCTCCTTCCCATCCTCCTCCTCCCTCTTTTTTTACGCTAGTCCGACCTAGGCGCGAAGTTGTGGCGTTTTTGACTGGGATATGTATATATATATATATATATATATATATATATATACACATACATATATATATATATATACATACATATATAACAGGCGCGCACGCGATTCAGTTCACAGTGTACCTGGCGGGCGCCGTGGAACATACTGGAATGCAAAGCAAAGACAATAGTAACACAAGGAATAGGCGCCCGCCAGGTACTAAAGGCCGGCACATACCTTAATCATGTCCCCCCCCCCCCGCCTCCGCATCCAACGGTTCTGAAGTAGTTTGCCAGTTCTGCGTCAGGAGGGAAGCTTTCGCAGCCCGACTTATCGGCAATAAGTGTGCTTCTTGATCATGTTGTTATTCTTCTTGTTCTTATTGTAGTAATATCTTGCTGAGGTTCAAGTGGTGAATCGGTGATGTACTCTTTGTAGCCATGGCGAGATGTGATGTTGTGCCGTTGAGCTCAGGCGGGCGGGCAAGCGCTCAGCTTTTTACCTGATCGCGGCCAAGACAGCTGCGGGTATTTATATACGAATATCACTGAGCAATGGCAGGGGCGTGGCTACATCAACAACCCCCGCGGCCTCCCCGGCGAGCTCCAATCGCGCAGGTGGACGTTAACGATTTGCCAACGCCCCAAATTCGCTTATATAGCGGCCCGTCGCGCCGCGCCCGGCTGGCAGCACTCCCGCTACCTGGCAGACAGCGCTCTGGGACACTCAACGCATTGCACCTGGGTGCCGGGCGGCTCACGTCATCCGTTCTGAACGCACTCGAACCGCCATTGTTCCCCTCGAAGAAGTACCTGCAGCATAGCCGCGCGTCCCTCCTCTCACCCCCAACTGTAGTCGTCGCGGGTCCAGCTGTTGTCACTATGCCAGTTGCCTGAGCTCCAGCTCCAAGACGACCACCTGTTCCTGGCACTCGCCTGCCACGGAGTAGAGAAATCCGCATCCCGCAATCGGTGCGCGCACGCCGCGGAAGGGCATCATCCGCGCGGCGCCGCGAGGTGCCTGCCTCAATGCGCCAGGGCGCGCCCAGCCGGAAATATCTGGCCGCCGGCGGCCTCGCGGCCGTAGCGGAACTTGAAGAGGCAAGCCCTGCGCGTGAGGACGTGTCCCCCTGAGACGGCTCTCAGCTCGGCGTCGCCTGGATTCCCGTTGATCTTCTGGCGCGCGGCTGATTGGCCTCTTGGCCCACTTGCCGTCGTTCTCGCTCTCCCTGCCCTTGCCCTCGGCGTCGTCCGACATCCTTGCTGCCGCAGAGCGGCCCTCGGGCCTGTTGGAGATCGGCCTCTTTGCTTCTGTGGCGGATTGCGCCCGAGAGGAGGCGCCGGCTCCGACGTAGTCGGGTGGTGTCCGGGCCCTCGCTTCGCGCGCTGTCGGAATTGGAGCTCTCGGCAATTCTGCCCGCGGCCAGTGGCCCTCGATTTCCTGTCCCATGGCAGCTTTCAATGGACTGAGCGGTTCGGCTTCAGCGGCCCGCGGGGAAGTGGCACGCCGCGCAAGCCACCCCATGCTAGGACCTTCATGATGGCGTTCCTATGGAAGGTCGTAGCCCCAATCAAAAGGGCCCTGAATGGCATAGCCTCTTACGCTCAGCATCTTCCTGATGATGCGCGGCCACCATATCCGCAGTGGGGCGACTGCGTCCTCCCCAGTCGCAGGCGTCTTGAGGTGCACGTTCTGGAACTTGATCCACCTGCGAGCCAGCTTCTTTGCCTTTCCCAGACAGGTAGCTCGTCATCAGGGGACGTGGGCAGCCAGGCAAAGACCGCCATGATGTTGCGGCGTAGCGCAGTCTTTCCTCGCAGAGCGTTGTCGCTGCGAACGGTCACGCCCCCGATGCAGGCGTCCTTCCATCTGCGCCGTGCTCTTGCCTGCGCGCGGTCGGCAAGCCCGTCCACCTCCTCGACGCAAGATCGGGGGCATAGTCCTCTCGATTCCGCTTGGCCAGGCCGATTTCCTGGTCAATCTTCGGCCTGATCACGTCGGATTCAGCGATGGAGGGGCCGCGCTGCGCAGGTGCCCTGCAAGCGAGGCAACTCAGCGTCCCCCACCGATTGCGGCAATCGCTGCTGCGCAGAAGGTAGCCGTCGCCCCAATCATTAGGCGCGCAGAGTGCAAACTCTTGTCAATGGGACCGAGCGTATCACCATCGTCTTCATCGGGTATCTGTACTAGGACTTGGTGCTGTTTAGTCCAGTCGATGCAAGCCGCGTCGAAGTCGGGGAACACCTTGAGCGCGGCGCACCGACGGTCTTATAACAGAAGTCCAAGATGCCTGAATACGCAATATCCCCGACACGGCAGGACGAAAGATCTAACGAATGTCGCCCCATGGGCCGGACTGTGGTCGCCAGGGGGCCATGGCGTTGAATGCACATGTCCCGGTTCTCGAAGAAACGGGGCTCGACAGTGAGCGCGCGCATCTTCGAGAGCGGGCGCGGATCACCCGGGCCAGAAACACTGGCGTCCAAAGCCTGGCTGGCCACAGCTGGTGCCCAACATCCAGGTCTATGCCGCGTCGGCAGCTCCCCGTGCAACTCGCCGCGCGTACATTCCTGCGCCGCCTGGGCTAGCCTGACTGCCCAATAAGAACCCCGCTCCTGGTCTGTGGCGACTGGGCCTGCTGGGGCAGGATACGGTCCATTCTGGGTAGGCAGACAAATCGGAAAACGGCACTGCCGAACGCCCTGGAGGTCCCCCTGTGGCGGTGCGACATGCCCAGTCATAGATGTTTTCATCGAGGCATTGTATCGCCCAATGGGATAACAACTGCCTGATGTGAGTACCTCGCCGCCGCATCCTGCCTGATCCTGATGTACATTCGCTACGGGTCCAAAACTCGAGCCGAGTGCCCCTTGTAGGCGCGGAACAGCAGTGGCTCTCTGACCATGGGCATCATCACTGGTACGCGTCTGTCGACATAGTCGTCCTCATTTGGTTTGCGCCCGAAGCTCTCGCCCCAGTCTTCTGGCTCAGCATTTGGGTCGTCATCGGCATTCGTCATGTTGACGCCATGGATCTGGACAGTCTTGCTGCCCGCACTCTGTCATAACCCATGGTATCCAACATCTGTACAATAACGGACGCCTCGGCCAAACCCCCTGATATGCGGACGTGGGCTGCACTACGCGTCGCTGGGTTATCACTGAGCGAGCTAAGGCGACCAGCTTCTTCTACGTCCAGTCCCGAGTACCACGCAAGCGCGCAGTTCACACGCCAGGTTCATCGGGATGAAGCTAAACTCGGGCGGCGGGAGGCAATGTGGCTCTACCGTATTGTAGCGGGCGCGCGAGAAGCAGCGCGCCTTTATCCCGTTCTCGTTTTCAGGGGACAGGCGTCGCAGGAACTCAGGCAGCGCATCGCCCACTAAATCACGTGCCCGCTCCAGGGTTCGCTTCTGGAAGCCAATGCCCCGCGTTTCTCAAGCTGCCGAGCCAGCCCCATGGGGGCGGCGCACACTGCTGCATCGTCGTCCTCACCAATGAGCGGGGCACCGTTTTCGTCCTTCTCCGCATGCTCAAGCCCGAGGTAACCCGTTTCCCCCTATCTCTCTTTCTTTGCTTGTACTCGCTTATCGAGAGCTGCTTCTTCTTTGGCGGGGTCGGGACCCCTCCCAGGGTCGGCTGGGGCGACTCTGAGCCACCAGCCTGTCGGCCCAGCGGGCGCCTCCGGGGCGGCCCTGGCCGTCCTGGGTCCATCTCGGGACCCCGTATGGCCGTCGTGGACACGATGAAAAGTGCAAGCCTGGGAACAGCGACAAGTGTGCTTTCCCCGGGGGGGGAACTATTTGTCGGTGTTGGGGCTCGTTTGGGGCTCGCCGTGGAGCCCACTTCATCTGGAGGCCGTCTGAGGCGTTGTCGGGGCCGTCTGCGGGTTGCCTGGGGCCGCCTTGGGCGTCTCTGGAGCAGCCTGGGGACCGTCTGGGGGTCGTCTTGAGCCGTCCCGGGCCGCTTTTGACGCATTCGTGGGTACCCCGTGGGCCGCCAGGGTGCGCCTCAGGAGCCGTCCTGGGGCCATCTTGGGACCCTGTATGGCCGTCTTGGACGCTATGAAGAAGGCAAGCCAGGGAACTGCGAAAATGCATGTTTCCCCAAGGAATGGGACGATGTTTCGGTGTTCGGGCTCTCTTGGGGCTCGTCGTGGAGCCCACTTGGAGCGTTCTGGAAGCCTCTTGGGCCGTGCGACGGGGTGTCGGAGGCGTTGTCGGGGCCGTCTGGGGGCTGCCTGGGGCCGCCTTGGGCGTCTCTGAAGCAGCCTGGGGACCGTCTGGGGGTCGTCTTGAGCCGTCCTGGGCCGCTCTTGGAGCTTCCTTGGGTATTCCGTGGGTCGCCAGGGGCGCCTCAGGAGCCGTCCTGGGGCCATCTTGGGACCCTGTATGGCCGTCTTGGGCGCTATGAGTAGGGCAAGCCAGGGAACTGCGAAAATGCACGCTTTCCCAAAAGGAATGTAGGAGTTGGGGCTCGCTTGAGGCTCGTCGTGGAGCCCACTTGGAACGTTTTGGAAGCCTCTTGGGTCGTGCGGAGGCTGTCGGAGGCAATTTCGGGGCCGTCTGGGGGCTGCCTGGGGCCGCCTTGAGCGTCTCTGGAGCAGCCTGGGGACCGTCTGGGGGTCGTCTTGAGCCGTCCCAGGCCGCTTTTGACGCATCCTTGGGTACCCCGAGGGCCGCCAGGGTGCGCCTCAGGAGCCGTCCTGGGGCCATCTTGGGACCCTGTATGGCCGTCTTGGACGCTATGGAGAAGGCAAGCCAGGGAACTGCGAAAATGCATGTTTCCCAAAAAAAATAAACGATGTTTTCGGTGTTCGGGCTCTCTTGGGGCTCGTCGTGGAACCCACTTGGAGCGCTTTGGAAGCCTCTTGGGCTGTGAGGAGGCTGACGGAGGCGTTGTCGGGGCCGTCTGGGGGCGGCCTGGGGCCGCCTTGGGCGTCTCTGGAGCAGCCTGGGGACCGTCTGGGGGTCGTCTTGAGCCGTCCCAGGCCGCTTTTGACGCATCCTTGGTTACCCCGAGGGCCGCCAGGGTGCGCCTCAGGAGCCGTCCTGGGGCCATCTTGGGACCCTGTATGGCCGTCTTGGACGCTATAAAGAAGGCAAGCCCGGGAACTGCGAAAATGCACGTTTCCCAAAGGAATGGGACGATGTTTCGGTGGTCGAGCTCTCTTGGGGCTCGTCGCGGAGCCCACTTGGAGCGTTCTGGAAACCACTTGGACAGTCTTCGGCCGTCTGGCGGCCCTCTTGGGGGCCTCCTGGTGCGTCTCGGAACGCTCTTGGGCCAGCCTGGAGGCGCGCCGAGGCCTGCTGAGGCTCGCAGGGGTCGCCGGAGGGCGGTCCGCTGCCACCGATGGGCACCTCCGCGAGCGCAGGGGCTTGCAGGAGAGATGACGTTGGGCTCCAGCTTCGCCTCCCGCGTCTCACTGAGCACTGACAGCGCGTGGTGCCATGACCCGCCCTTTCTGCATGCGCAGATACTCGCAATGTGGTGGCTGAGTGGCTTGGGACGATGTGTGCAGCTAGTCTAAGTCCTTCGCGGAGCAACCGCGGTGCTGCGCCCCACTGTGCTGCCCGACCGCAGTTATTGATCGACGCTTCGAAGGAAATAGCGCCTTCTCGGGAACCTCGACCGATATCCAGCATCCGAAAACTGCATCCAGAAGGACACGGCACCACGGCTTGAACCAAAAAGGTTCTTTGAGCCTAAACGGCTTAAAACAACTTTGGGTTTCTTGGGCCAAAATTGGCTTCCTTGGGTTCTCCTGCTCCTCCTGTGCCTCCTCCTCATCCTCCCCTCCCATGAAGCAAACGGTTCCTGAGGGAAACGGGCTCTGATCTTTTCTCAACTGCCATGCTCCCAGGGCCCTCCACGAGCTCAAGGACTATCAGGAAACGAGCCAGGACAACAAAAGTGGTCCTGAGGGAAGGCCCCAGGGTTATGGGCCCCTCTTCCCTGGGGTCCTCCTACGTGTCCACCTCCTCCTCCTCCTACTCCTCCGCATTATAATTCTCCTTTGGTCCATGTCGGCAAGATGCGGTTACCACAGATGCCGGATGCTGAAACTAAAGCAACTCGCAAACCGTCACCACGGTCCCAAAGGCACTTCCCGCACCTGGCGGCCGCCCGTCTCCTCCTCCTCCTCCTCTTCCTCCTCCTCCCTCCGCCTCTTCCTCCTCTTCGTCCTCTTCGTTTTCCTCCTCCTCCTCCTCCATTCCTTTTCCTTATTGGTATTTTTTCTTGTCGCACCCCGAGGCTAGCTGAAAGGGCGGGCTGGTCGTTTCGCCTGCGACTTCCTCGCCATTTATGATCAAATGGAGGGCGGGTTGTTTTCAAAATGTGGCTCTCGCCTTAGCGCTGCGCACGTTCGTTTTAACCAGAGCTTCGCGTATTGAGGACGGTCGTTTTCAAAATGTAGCTCTCGCCATAGCGCCGCGCTCATTCGCATCATAAATGTGGAAGAACTTCGCGGACTGAGGGCAAGTGGTTTTCAACATGTAGCCCTCGCCCTGACGCCGCGCACATTCGTGTAAACAATCGGCAACACCTTACGGATTGATGGCAGGTCGTTTTCAAAATGTGACTTTCGCAGTCGCGCCGCGCACGCTCGTCTTACAAAGTTGAACAACTTCACGGATTGAGGGCAATTATTTTCCAAAGTGTGGCCCTCGCCTTGGCGCCGCGTGTATTCTTGCTTCCAATATGTGGATATAACCTTACCGCCGTGCACATTCGCTCTCAAACTCTGCACGAGTTTCAATGACTCCCATTCTTACAGTACCAAACATGTTCTTTTGGAGCGACTCAGGATTGCCAGGGCGCAACAGTTATATGGCTTCGCGGCGCTGAAGTCCTAGGAATGGATGGCCAAGACGCAACAATCAGGTTATGCCGTGGCGTTGAAGTCTTGAGAATTGTCTTCTGGTGCGCTTCAGGATATTCAGGATTGTCTTCCAACGGGGCATTTTCCTCAGGGGCGATGAATGTTATAGGGGCCTGTGAAGAAGGAGTTCGTCGGGAGGGTGTATTCCAACATCGTTGATGAGTCTTCGGTTTGCACTTGACCTCCTCCTCCTCCTCTTCCAGATATCAAACGATCTGTTTTGTCTTGTTCAGCTTTGTTATTCGATTTCGTCGTCTGCGGGACGCTGTTGGGACCAGTGGCGATCAAACACGGATCCGAACTAAGGAATAACCTGGGGAGACCGCCGGGACTTCTGGGGCAGCGCATTGAACATACAACTA